TAATTGCAATGAATAATTGTGTGGAGAGGTAGGTTTTCGTATGATGTGTGCTATCTTAAGGGTCATTTCCTAGAAATGAGATTGTGAAAGTCATTTTTTTTGCATTTTCTAAATTCCCCATCCTAGCGTCATGCTCATTTGCATCTCTGCTAGCAGAGGGTGTGTGTGTGTTTGTCTGTCCCTTCTGCTACTTCAGTAAGTATCTTAACTTTTACCTATCTAAACATCATTCCATACATTTAATGTGGCAGTTTATCATATACATGTATTTTTTTTCTGTAAGCTAATAACTGGTTATTATTTGATATATGAAGGCTATTTTCATAGTAATTTTATGTTCAAAATTGCTAAATCTTTTTAAATTGAGTCTCAAGGATTTTTCTGGTATACTAATTATATCACATGCATGCAGAGATTTTTTTCAATTTTTGTATCTTTTGTTCTCTTGTGTAATTACGTTTGCCATCTCCCTGTCTGTACCTCAGCTCTGTCAAATACTAGTAGAGCCACCAGGGAGCTTTGCCTTGTGCCTTACACTTGCTTGCAGTATTTCACTTTGAGACTAGATTACATTTATTTAATCAATTACTTTATGTAAATTATAAATACAGGGTTAAATAGAACTTATCTCTGTTGCTTCCAGACTTGAAGGAGAATGGTAGCCACGGTGATAGTTGGTATTGTCATCTGGACAGGATCTAGGGTTATCTGGGAGATAAGTCTCTGGGCGCCTGAGGGGTTGTCGGGATCAGGGTGGTTGAAGTGTGGAAACCAGCCTTAACTCTGAGGGGCAGTGTTCTGTGTCGCAGGGCTCCTGGACTGAATAAAAAGGAGGAAGCTTGCAGAATTCTCCTAGTGTCAGTGCATCCTGACTGTAGACGCCCCACACTCCTACCGCCAGGGCTTTCCTGCCATGACAAACTGCATCCTCAGACTGTGAACCAGAATACACCCTTCTTAGCTATGAAAAAGGTGGCTAATACATCTAATTTTTAAATCTTTCTACTTGACCCCCCCAACATAAAAATAACAAGGAAAGCAAATGCAGGTGTATTTGACCCCGAATTTCACAATACTGCTAGCTATAGACTATCATGACTTCACATCACATGTCCATCAAGAAATAAACCAAATTCTATTTAATGGTGTTACTTACACAAGCTTAGCACAGGGATAGAAATGGCTTAACAAGCGCCAGAAGAAAAAGTACAAGTACTTGGCAAACACAAAACAAACTGTGGTTTTGTTTGTTTGTGGGCTTTTTGTTTCATTTTGGTTTTGTTTGTTTGTCTTACTGTTTTTCTGTTTGTCCGGTTTGTTTTTGTTTATTGTTTTAGGTTTTTTGTCTCTTTTTTGAGAAAGAACATGAAGTAGGGTAGATAGGGAAGTGGGGAGAATTTGTGAGGAGTTTGGAAAAGTGTAAAACATAAATAAAACAAATAAAAATACATCGTATGACAATGTTTTAAGTTTAAAAGGTAAAGGAAAAAATAAAAGGCAAAAGTTTTGAAAAAAGAACAAGTAGAGCAGTCCTGAAGACTGAGACAAAACACAAACCTAGTAAAAACACCCCAGTACAAAGTGCAAAATAGTCAACCTAGATGTGAATGTCCTAGTTTTATCACAGCCCTTAGATGCTAAGGAAGGATGAAAGCTTGCAGAGGTGCTGCTTTAGGACAAGCATACAGAGTGTGGTTTCCCTGGATGGATCCCTAAAGCATAAGTGGGATAACTAGATACAGTAACTCCTCCACAGGGGATATCCACAAATGAAGGAGAATTAGATACAGTAACTCCTCCACGGGGGATGTCCACAAATGAAGGAGAATTAGATACAGTAACTCCTCCACGGGGGATGTCCACAAATGAAGGAGAATTAGATACAGTAACTCCTCCACGGGGGATGTCCACAAATGAAGGAGAATTAGATACAGTAACTCCTCCACGGGGGATGTCCACAAATGAAATGGCACAGAAAACAGAGCTGTCAGAAGAGGGCGCTCTCAAGCTAGGAACCTTGGTCACAAAAATGATAAAGGTGATGACATCCGTATACAAGTACAGCAAAAAGATTGTGTGAAAATCCTCATTAATAGTCACAGACTTGACAACTGTAGTATTCCCTCCTGGAGTAATATCTTCAAACAGCACTCAAGACTAATGAAAACCAACCTGGACCAGAAATGTTACAAACAAAAAAGAAAAAGGGTGGGTGTTGATTGAATTCAATAAATGAAAAATTCAAGATTATATTAGAAATGACATATAAATTACAAGATGTCCCAGGGAGGATAAAGTCGTATAGTAATTGAGTGAGGGAGGTAGTGGGTTCTAGGGATGTGAATAGCCTAACCACAGGATAAAACAGTGCAGGGAGAAAATGATAGAATAAGAAGACAAAGAAGGTGCAACATAAGACTACTTGGAGAACCTCAAGAAAACCAAAACAGCCACCCCAAACTAATGCCTGAAGTTACAACAGAAGGAAAGAAAAAAAAAGGATCTTGACTCTTCATCTTAAAAGGGCCCATCAGGTACCAGGGAATATTCCTGTACCCAGGAATCCTAGGAACAGCTTAATGAAACTGTTAAACTTTACAGACCAAAAAACAAAAAACAAAAACAAAAAAGTCTCCAGACAGAAAGAGTAGTTACATAACCATGTGCATTAAACTAGTTGGAATTGTCCCAAATAGACTGCAAAGCCAAGCCACTGTAAGGCAACATTCCAGCACTCTTGTTTTTTGTTTGTTTGTTTGTTTGTTTGTTTGTTTTTGTTTGTTTTTTTGTTTTTGGTTTTTCAAGACAGGGTTTCTCTGTGGCTTTGGAGGCTGTCCTGGAACTCGCTCTTGTAGACCAGGCTGGTCTCGAACTCACATAGATCTCCCTGCCTCTGCCTCCCGAGTGCTGGGTTTAAAGGCGTGTGCAGAGAAGTTGATTTTGTTTTGTTTTGTTTTTGTATTTTTTTTTTTAGTTCAAATTAGGAAGAAGCTTGCTTCACATGTCAATCCCTTCTCCCTCTCCCTCCCCTCCCCCCCCCCCCCCCCCCCC